TCACATAATCCAGTTTCTTTGATTATTTGCTCAGCATACAGAGTGAATAAGTCTGGTGGAAGGATACCACCCTGGCATACTCCTTTCCTGATTTTACACCAGTCGGTGTTCCCTTGCTCTGTTTGAACAACTGCCTCTTGGTCTATGCACAGGTTCCTCATGAGGACAATTAAGTACTCTGGACTATCCATTCTTCATAATGTTACCCATAGCTTGTCATGATCCCACACAGCCAAAAGCCACTGCAAAGTCAATTAAACGCAGTAAACACCTTTCTGGTGCTTTCTGCTTTCCACCAAGATCCATCTGATGTCAGTAATGATATCCCACGTTCCAAATCCCCATCCGAATCTGCCTTGAATTTCTGGCAGTTCTCTGTTGATGTTGTGCAACTGTCTTTTGACTCTCTTCAACAAAACTTTACCTGCATATCATATTAATGGTTCTGTTTGATGGTTTGCAGATTCTGTTGGGTCACCTTTCTTTGGAATGGGCACAAATATGGATCTCTTCCAATTAGGTGACCAGGTAACTGTCTTCCAATTTCTTGGCACAGGTGAGTGAGTGCCTCCAGTGTTGCGTTAGTTTGTTGAAACATTTCAATTTGTAATCTGTCAATTCCTGGATCCTTGGTTTTCGCAAATGCCTTCAGTACCATTGGTTCTTGATCATGTGCTACTTTATTCAATAGTTTGCCCTTAGAATCCTTCTATATTGCAAGTTGAAGCTTGAATTTTTTCTTCGTTCTTTCAGCTTGAGAAATGCTGAGCAACAGTGTTCTTCCCTTTTGGTTTTCTAACTCCAGGTCTTTGCACATTTCGTTCTATACTTTTGCTTTGTCTTCTTGAGCTGTTCTGAAATGTTCTTTTAATTATTTTAAATGCTGAAATGTTTTATGAAGCTCTTGGATCTCCTCATTTCTTCCATGGACTTTAGTTTCTCTATGTTCAAGAGCAAGTTTCAGAATCTCTTCTGACATTCATTTTGCTCTTTTCTTCCTTTCTTATCTTTTAAATGACATTATGCTTTCTTCCTGTTTGATGTTCTTGATGTCATCCCACAACTCTTCTGGTCTTCGGTCATTATGGTGTATAGTGCATCAAATCTGTTCTTCAGATGATCTCTAAATTCAGGTGGAATACATTTAAGGCTATATTTTGGCTCTTGTGGACTTGTTCTAATTTTCTTCAGCTTCAGTCTGAACTTGTAGTTGTTGTTGTGTGCTGTGAAGTCAGTTCCAACTCATAGCGACCCTGTACAGGGTTTCCGAGGCTACAAATCTTTATGGGAGCAGAAAGCCTCCTCTTTCTCCTTTGGGACATCTGTGGACCCTGAGGTTAGCAGCCCGATTCGTAACCACTACACTACCAGAACTCCTTCAGTCTGAACTTACATATGAATAATTGATGACCTATCCCACCGTCTGCCCCTGGCCATGTTTTGGCTAATAATATGGAGCTCTTCCACTGTCTCTTTCCAAAGATGTTTATTGTTATTGTTAAGTGCTGTCAAATCATTTCCAACTCATAGAGACCCTGTATAGGGTTTCCAAGGAGTGGCTAGTGAGTTTGAGTCAATTTGATTTCTTTGTATTCTACCCGATGAGGTCCATATTTGCAATGAAGACGTCATTGGTCATGCAACATTCTATCATGAGATCTCCAACATCATTTCTATCATCAAGGTCATATTTTCCAACTACTGATCCTTCCTCTTTGATTCTAATCTTCGCATTCAAATCCCCAGTAATTATCGATACATCTTGATTGCATGCTTGATCAGTTTCAGACCGAAGAAGTTGGTAGAATTCTTCAATTTCATCATCACTGGCTTTAGAGATTGGTGCGTAAATTTGGATAATAGTGGTATTAACCAGTCTTCCATGTGGGCATATGGATATTATCCTATCACAGACAGCGTTGTACTTCCAGATGATGTTATGAAGTGCCGTTGCGTCAGTTCCGACCCATAGCGACCATGTAATGTATAGGGTTTCCAAGGAGCAGCTGGTGAGCTTGAATCACCGACCTTGCAGTTCAAATGGCTTTGCAGTCTGACGCACTAACCCACAGCACCACACCAAGATAGATCTTGAAATATTCTTTCTGATGATGAATGCAATGTCATTCCTCTTGAATTTGTCATTCCCGGCATATGATTTTCTGATTCAGAATGGCCAATACCAGTCCACTTCAACTCACTAACGCCTAGGCGATCAATGTTTATGTGTTCCATTTCATCTTTTGACAACTTTCAATTTTCCTGGATTCCTACTTCGTACATTCCATGTTCCAATTATTAATGGATGTTTGTAGTTGTTCCTCCTCATTTTGAGTTGTGCCCCATAAGCAAATGAAGGTCCTGAAACTTTACTCCATTTGGTCACCATGAGCAGCTCTCCTTTCTCTCTGTAGACAGCCATCCACTGACTTTGCTCTCCTCACAAAGCCATAATCCCTAGTGCATCGGTACCAGAAATGCCACACTTGGGTAGCTTTAGGGAAACCCCATTCCAGATGCTGGCTCCAGGGGATGGCTCTCTGTGTAGGCTCTGAGGAATGTCCTTGTCTCAGTTTCTCTGGTATTCCTCTTGGCATCCCTTGGTTCCTTGGCATGCTCCATGGGGCTGTATCGTTCCCTTTTGCTGCCTGCCTGGGCCCGAGTCCTCTCGGCTCTCTCTATACAGTGGAACCTGAGAAAGCAGGAATTCGGGGGACGCCTTGTTTTTCTGGCTCTCGCAAGTTTCCTGCCTTTGTCAGGGTGCAGGCTTACCACATTTCTATTCTCCTGTTGGCATAAAATACTTGAATTTTCCTTCTTTCTCAGGTTCCTGCTGAATGAACACAGACACTGGGTTTCTAGGTTCTGCTCTGTCTCAAAAGCGAGTCCACAATAAAACATGAAAAAAAAAAAATTATACCACACACACACACAAAAAAAAGCGATTAGGTTTAGGACCCACCCTAACATCATTCGTGTGACCAAGTGATCTCTATTCCCAAATGGGACCCCATCCCGGGAGTAGGGTTACGATCCCTACACATATTTTGGAGAGACACAATGACTCCATAAGACCTCTCTGGCTCCCACTCACCAGCGTCTCCAGGGCTGACGTCAGCATCTGGTAATAGTCCGAGTTCTCTTGCTGCAAACTGCTGGCGTAGCGGATTCCTCCCAGCTGGGCCGTGTGCTCCACATCGACACCCTGTGTGGAGAGGAGGGCTGCGGACAACACCCAAGCCCTGTAAGAGAGCCTGGCCATGGGGTACCTCCGAACCCCAGTACCCCTGGACAAGCCAGGATGGTCTCTCCCCACCTGGGCGTGATCTGACAGCCTTCACAACTGTTGCCTTCAGTCGGTTAGTAATAGCTCCCTCTTTTTGACTCAGGGAGCTCTAGTACCACTGTGGGTTAAGCACGGGGCTGCCACCTGTCAGGACAGCAGGTCAAACCCATGGGGAAAATATGACTCTCTCTGTTCCCATAAAGGTTGACGGTCTCAGAATCCCAGGTTGCTGGGAATAAGAATCAACTCGAAGGCAGTGAGTCTGGCTTCTAACATAAGGATCCCTGTGGTGCCATGGTTAAGCGCTCAACTTTAACCGAAAGGTTTGCAGTTCGAACCTGCCATCTGCTGCACAGGTGAAAGGTGTGGCAAACTCTTCTGTGAAGAGGTGCAGCCTGGGAAACCCTATATAGGGGTGCTATGAGTCAGAACTGACTCCACGTCACTTAGCAACAACATATATGCACACACGCACACACATACGTGCACACGTCTGTAAAGCCATGCAGCCTGGGAAACCCTGCACGGGATGGTGATGAGCTGGAATAGACTCCACAGCACTTACAACACGGGGTGACTTGACAGCAGTGTGCTCTCGGGCATGTTCTGTTTGGTGACAAACTCTATAAGCGCCCACTGGGAGACACCCCCCCCCCCCCAGGTACACTCAAGACTGGATTACCCAGGGCCGATGAAACACAGACACACCCTGAGCAAATGGTTTATGCTCCTGCGTCTATGGAATTGGTTTCCGAGGCTGTAAATCTGGACAGGAGCAGAGAGACTTAGCTCCTTAGCAGGTGGCTTGGAAAACAGACACTGAATTTCCCACAGTTCAGAAAAACCAGTTGTCCAGAAAAAGAGGACAAGAATGCCATCAGTGGGGTTGATAAATTTTGACTTGGACTGTGTTCTGCTGTGACCGTTCCCAACAACTACAAAATGAAATAAATTGTTTTTAAAAATTGGCCAAGATTTACCAAACACAGTGTTTTTATTATAAAAGTAATACTGCTTATGATTAAAAAAAAAAACAAAAAAAACTTCAAAAAATCAAAGTTTTATGTCTTATCTGATGATATTAAGTAGGTATCTAAAGGGTCAAAACTATTGATCTTCTTGACAATATTCAACTGATTGCTTTTACATACTTTTAATAAGTAAGCAATGGAAGGGAAAATGATTGAGATGGCTTCTAGTTCCAGGAAATAAAATATTTAAATAACAAAACAAACCAATAAAATTTGCCTCAACTAGATTCTAGCTCTTGGTGACCCCATGTGTGTCAGAGTAGAACTGTGTTCCCCAGGGTTTTTGCTGGCTTATATTTCAGAAGTAGATTGTCAGTCTTTCTTCCAGAACACCTCTGGGTGGACTAGAACCTCCAACCTTTTGATCAGTAGCTGATCACATTAACAGTGTGAACCACCTGGGGACACTTCTCAGAGCTGAGGGCTTGGCTCTAGCTGGAAACCCTTCCTTGTCTATTTCAGCTTCTATTTGCTCTGTGTGTCTCTGAGCCTTGTTGTTGTTAGGTGTCATTGAGTTGATACAGACCCATAGTGTCCCTATGCACAACAGAACAAAACACTGCCCAGTCCTGTGCCAACCTCACAATCGTTGCTACACTTGAGCCCATTGCTGCTGCCACTGTGCCAATCCATCTATTGGGGGTCTTTCTCTTTTTCTCTGACCCTCCACTTTACCAAACATGATATCCTTCTCCAGGGACTGGTTCCTCCTGACAATATGTCCGAAGTATGAGAGACGAAGTTTGGCCATCCTGGCCTCCAAGGAGCACTCTGGCTGCCCTTCTTCCAACACAGATCTGTTTGTTCTTTTGGCAGCCCATGGCACTTTCAATATTCTCCTCCAACACCATAACTCAAATCAATTCTTCTACAGTCTTCTTTATTCACTGTCCAACTTTCACATGCATACGAGGTTATAGAAAATACCATGGCTTGGGTCAGGTGCACCTTAGTCCTCAGCTGACATCTTTGCTCTTCAACACTTTAAAAAGGTCTTGTGCAGCAGATTTGCTTAATGCAATATGTCGTCTGATTTCTCAAATGCTGCTTCCATGAGTGTTGATGGTGGATCTGAGCAAAATGAAGTCTTCGGCAACTTCTCTGAGCTGAGTCTATTCTTTTTGTAACTCAGAAGTGATTAGGTTTCAAACCCACCCTATTGCACTAAGCCCTAACTAACGTAACAAAAGAAAAGCCCTGTCTTCAAACAGGGTCACATTCACAGGCACAAAGAAATCAGCAGTTATCACTGAGCTGCTACTGGATCCTGGGGAACCCTGTGTGTCAGAGGAGAACTGTACTGCAGAGCGTTTTCAATGACTGATGTTTGGGAAATAGATGGGCAGGTCTTTCTTCCAAAGCACCTCTTTGGTGGACTTAAGTCTCCAGCCATTTGGTTAGCAGTTGATCACATTAGCCACCCAGGGATCAATCAGTTGTCATCCAGTGGATTTCCACTCACAGTAACCCTATAGGACGGACTAGAACTGCCCTATAGGATATCCAAGGCTGTAGTGCACCTGACCCAAGCTATGGTATTTTCAATAACCTCATATGCATGTGAAAGTTGGACAATGAATAAGGAAGACCATCAAAGAATTGATACAGTTGAGTTATGGTGTTAGAGACGGAAATTAAATGTACCACAGACTGCGAGAAGAACAAATAAGTCTGTGTTGGAAGAAGTAGTCAGAGCGCTCCTTGGAGGCTAAAATTTTTTGACATATTGTCAGAAGGGACCAGTTCCTGAAGAAGGACATGGTGCTTGGTAAAGTGAAGGGTCAGCAAAAAGAGGAAGCCCTCCAATGAGATGGATCGACACAACAAAAAGAGGAAGATCTCCAATGAGATGGATCGACACAGCAAAAAAGAGGAAGATCTCCAATGAGATGGATCGACACAGCATAAAAGAGGAAGATCTCCAATGAAGTGAATCGACACAGCAAAAAAGAGGAAGCCCTCCAATGAGATTGATCGAGACAGCAAAAAAGAGGAAGCCCTCCAATGAGCTGGATCGACACAATGGCAGCAGCAGTGAGCTGAAGCTTAACAATTGTAAAGTTGGCTCAGGACTGGGTGGTGTTTCATTCTGTGGGTCTGAACCAATTCGATGGTACCTAACACCACCAATAACAAGAGGCCTTTCTCCTGAGGAGTACTTGGTGTGTTCAAACCACTGTTCAGTGAGCCGCGGATTGCTTAAACACGGGTCCACCAGGGCTGCCTCACACAGACGTGTTGCCGTTGTCACTGAATTCATTGCAACTCATAGTGGTCTCGTGTGCAACAAAACAGAACACTGCCCAGTGCTGCGACATTCTCACAATCATTGCTGTGTTTGAGCCTGTCTTTTCCCCGGACCCTCTACTTTTTCCAGCAAGCTGTCTTCCTGGGACTAGTCTCTTCTGAATACACGCCAAAATACATGAGATGAAATCTC